TATATATATATATATATATATATATATATATAGTATAGATAGAGTATTATTGATTAGGATAGGATAAGTATGAATATAGTCTTGATATTGATAAAAGTTGTATTATCTGAATTCTTTTTCTTTTTTTTTTTGTCTTTTTTTTTTCTTGTAGGGAGTTATTTTGTCTTGAACATGGTATTCAGCCTGATGGTCAGATGCCTCCTGATCAGAGTATAGGAGGAGGAGATGATGCATTTAATACATTTTTCTCTGAGACAGGAGCAGGGAAGCATGTAAGTATAATATATATACATATATATATATATTGAATAATGTATCCCGTGCCTGAGCAGGACACCCCTTTATGACCATTTAAAATATAGGTAATAAAGAGTATAATAATAATAATAATAATAATAAATATAATTATTTATATATATATATGTATATATATATGTATAGGTACCTCGTTGTGTATTTTTGGATTTGGAGCCAACAGTGGTGGATGAAGTACGTACTGGTACATATCGTCATTTATTTCATCCAGAGCAATTAATATCAGGGAAGGAGGATGCAGCAAATAACTTTGCTCGTGGTCATTATACAATAGGGAAGGAGATAGTAGATTTATCATTGGATAGGATAAGAAAGTTAGCAGATCAATGTACAGGATTACAAGGATTTTTAATGTTTAATGCAGTAGGAGGAGGAACAGGATCAGGATTAGGTTGTTTATTATTGGAGAGATTAAGTGTAGATTATGGTAAGAAGAGTAAATTGAATTTTTGTTCTTGGCCATCTCCTCAAGTATCTACAGCAGTAGTAGAGCCATATAATTCAGTATTATCTACACATTCTCTTCTTGAGCATACAGACGTAGCAGTAATGTTGGATAATGAGGCAATATATGATATATGCAGGAGGAATCTAGACATAGAGAGGCCAACATATACTAATCTTAATAGATTAATTGCCCAAGTTATTTCCTCTCTTACTGCCTCCTTACGATTCGATGGTGCACTGAATGTAGATGTAACAGAGTTCCAAACAAATCTAGTTCCTTATCCACGTATACATTTTATGCTTTCTTCTTATGCACCAATAATAAGTGCAGAAAAAGCATATCATGAGCAATTAAGTGTAGCAGAGATAACGAATAGTGCCTTTGAGCCAGCAAGCATGATGGCTAAGTGTGACCCTCGTCATGGTAAATACATGGCTTGTTGTCTTATGTATAGAGGAGATGTAGTACCTAAGGATGTTAATGCTGCAGTAGCTACTATTAAGACAAAAAGAACTATACAATTTGTTGATTGGTGTCCTACTGGATTTAAATGTGGTATAAATTATCAGCCACCTACAGTAGTACCTGGTGGGGATCTAGCTAAGGTTATGAGGGCTGTATGCATGATTAGTAATAGTACTGCTATTGCTGAGGTATTTAGCCGTATGGATCATAAGTTCGATCTTATGTATGCTAAGAGAGCATTTGTTCATTGGTATGTTGGGGAAGGAATGGAGGAAGGAGAATTTAGTGAGGCAAGAGAGGATCTTGCTGCATTAGAAAAAGATTATGAGGAAGTTGGTATAGAGACTGCAGAAGGAGAAGCAGAAGAAGAAGGATATGGTGATGATTATTAAGCAGCAGAGGAGAGGAGAGGAGAGGAGAGGAGAGGAGGGATATATATAGATATATATATATATA